TCTCTCTCTCTCTTTCTCTCTCTCTCTCTGTCTCTCCGTCTTCTGTCTCTAACTCTACCCTTCAAATAAATAAATAAATCTTAAAAAAAAAAAAAAAAAGTATCAGGAGCTTCGTAAGTACCTGTGGCCCTCACCTTCCAGCAAGTCTCCCTGACCAGGGACAAAGCTGGGCAGGTAGAGACAGATCCCATGACAGGTACTGCTGCAAGTACCTTACAAAATAAACTCATTTCATTCCTACAGCAACCCATTTCACAGATGCAGAGACCGAGTCACAGTAAAGACAAGTCACTTGACCAGGTATCCACAGCCAGCAAGTGGCAGAGCTAGGATTTGAACCCAGCACCCCGCCTCCAGGGCCCATGCTTATAACCACGAGGTTGTGCTTCTGAGTGGGTTCAGCCTGTTTATACGGAGAGGGCTGTGGACAGCTGGCATCTGAGAAGAGCTGCCCAGCCAAGGCGACTGCTGGCTTCTGGCTGAGCAGCAATCCAGGAGAAGCTGGGCCCAGTCACTGTCTCTTTCCTGAGATGAGAAAGCCAGCCAGACCTCGTGTGCAGAGGGAACGCTCCCTGGGAACCTGATCCAAGGGGGAGGGCATCACGTGGTCCTCCGTTCAGGAGGCCCTGAGTCACCGCATGGACAATGACTCCCATCGTGGTCTTGCGAGGTCCAGCCCTGCAGGAAACCACGTCACTTCCAGAAGCCATCTGACTCTGCTTCCTCGTGGGAGCGCAGACAGGAGCCTCCACCAGTGGGAGCAGCCGCCCTACTGCCAAGGTGTCCACAGGGACCGCGCAGGTGTCGGAAGGAGTCGAGTTCTACCTGCAAAAGCTGAAGTCACTGCCAGAGGGCTGCTGGTCAGGTGCTCAGGGTCCAGCTAGGCTGGGAGACCTAAAGGACCGGTGCTCAAGGGAGACCCCTGCAGGCTGTGGGCTCGGAGGGCAGCCCTGCCTCAGCAGCCATTGCAGGGCCAGGTAGGGAGTGGGCTAAGGCTGCTGGAATCCAGCTGAGAGGTGAGCACAGCGCAGGGATGGGGAGGCACCCACAGAAGAGGAAAGCACAACAATGCCTCTCTTGGGACTCACTTCCCCAAGAACCCTATGCAAGAGGAGTGGGTACTCTCCCCATTTTCCATGGAGGAAAACTGAGGTTCCAGTGGTCACACAAGTGGTCAGAGAGCCGCATTGTTGCCCCGCTGGTGGCCCCCTGGCACTTCCCCGGCTGGGGGCAGTCACAACACAGGCAGAAGAGGAAGCGCCACAGCCCTCCATCTGGATCAGGCGCTGCTTGTTTGTTGAGCCACACTTCAAGAATCTCGAATTACATCAGAGGGGTGGACAGGACAACTACATGGGACCTGTGAGCGCCACCTGGTGGTGAGCTCCGCCATCACATGTCTCCTGGTGGTGTCAGCAGCTAACAGGTTCCCGGGCCACATGAACCACAGGACTGTGTGTGGCTCCAGTGACTGCACAGGTTGCATTCCCAGGGCCGCTGCTCTCAGTCCCTCTCCCTGCAGTGACCCAGAGCTGGGGCGCCAAGCACTGCCCCGCGCCCTCAGGTACGGTGGCTGGGTTGCCCACTTGCCGGCTCCTGCTGTGCTGTATAATCTCCAACTGAGTTGAACTCGGTGAGGAAATGCACCTGGGCCTTACATCCGTTCCTGTGGGGGCTCTGCGGGAAAGGCTTCTCCCGGAAGTGACTTTTGAGCTGGGTTCTGGAGAGTGATGAGCAAAGTTCCCGAGAACAGTATGTGCAAAGGCCCGGGAATGGGATGGAGTCGGATCCGTTAGGTACACTGGAGGACATCAGTGTGGCTAGAGCCTGGAGGAAGAGGAGAAGGGCACCAGCAGAGCTGGAAAGGGGTTGGGTGGGAGGGGGACCACTTAGGGCTTTCAGGCCAGGTCAGTGTGGGAGCGAGGCCTTTAGCCGGAGGGGTGGCCTCAGAGACTTCATTTTAAAAGAGTAGTCAGATGGGGCCAGTGCGTGACGTAGCAGGTTAAGCCACCACCTGCAATGCCGGCATCTCTTGTGGGTGCTGATTCAAGTCCTGGCTGTTCCACTTCCAATCCAGCTCCGTGCGCCTGGGGAAGCTTTGGAAGATGGTTCAAGTGCTTGGGCCTCTGCACCCGTGTCGGAGGTCTAGAAGAAGCTCCTGGCTCCTGACTTTGGCCTGACCCAGTCCTGGCTGTTGTAGCCATTGGGGAGTGAACCAGAGGATGAAAGATTCTCTCTCTCTTTCTGTCTGTCTCCATCTCTGTAACTCTCCCTTTCAATTAAATAAAAATAAATCTTTTAAAAAATTAAAAGCAAATAAATAAAAACAAAAGAGCACTTGGTGCCACCTGGAGAGTGAGTGGGGACGGACACAGGTGGCTTGGGGAGAGCTTGAGGAGGTACGAGGAGGCCATCTCAGGATGCCACGAGAGATGGGGTTTGTGCTCAGGGAGGTGTCTGGAGAGGTCAACCAACCCTCCATGTCCGCAGGGGCAAAGCTGGCAGTGATGGGTACAGGGAGGGAAGGAGAGAGGGTGATAATGGCACAGCTTAGACTGCTGGCTCCCCCAACCCAACAGACAACAAGGCCGCTTTCTGGGCAGGGGGCCACTGGAGCAGGTCTGATGGGGCTGGAGGTGGCCAGCATGTGCAGCTGTAGTCAGGCTGAGTTTGAAGGACCAGAGGGAGATCCGCACGGAAATGAGGGGAGTGAGGTGCTAGGAGGTTTTGCTACTCACTAGCTTATGTGAGTTTATGTAAATTATAGAACCTCTTGGTGGTCTTTTTTTAAATCTATTTTTTTATATATTTTGAAAGGTAGAGAAAGAGAGATAGAAGGAGAGAGAGAGAGAGAGATCAATCTTCCATCTGCTGGTTTACTCTCCAGATGCCCATAAGACCTGAGGGTTGAAGCAGGCTGAAGCCAGGAGCCAGGAACACAACCCAGGTCTCCTGTGTGGCCGCAGGGACTCAGCTACTTGGACCAGCACCTGCTGCCTCCCAGTGCAAAATGGTCCCAGAGCTGGGACTCGAACCAGGCACTCTGAAACGGGAGGCTGGCATCCCAGGCAGTGTCCTGAATGCTGAGTGGAAGAACCAGCCTGATGGAAGGAACCTCCTGGAATCCCTGTTTCCTAAGCTGTCAAACAGGGAGAACAAAGACTAATACTGGGCCGGCGCCGTGGCTCAATAGGCTAATCCTCCACCTTGCAGCGCCGGCACACCGGGTTCTAGTCCCGGTCGGGGCGCCGGATTCTGTCCCGGTTGCCCCTCTTCCAGGCCAGCTCTCTGCTATGGCCAGGGAGTGCAGTGGAGGATGGCCCAGGTGCTTGGGCCTTGCACCCCATGGGAGACCAGGAAAAGCACCTGGATCCTGGCTCCTGCCATCAGATCAGCGCGGTGCGCCGGCTGCAGCGGCGGCCATTGGAGGGTGAACCAACGGCAAAGGAAGACCTTTCTCTCTCTGTCTCTCTCTCTCACTGTCCACTCTGCCTATCAAAAAAAAAAAAAAAAAAAAAGACTAATACTGAGCCATCCTGAGGAAGGCGTGACAAGGCGTGACAAGGCGTGACAATGGAAGTTCTGAATATGACAGACGCCAAGACACAGTCAGTACCAAATGCCCAAGCTAGAGGGCAAACCCTGGGACGCAGGCTTTCAAAGAGCTCGCTGAGCTGGTTTCTTAACTCACTCAGAGGTCAAGGCCTCAGTCAGAACACTTAAAACAGCAAGGCCCCAACCTAGCAGAAAGCAGAGGCCTGGCCAGGGCCCTGGGGCTCCCTGGTGAGCCCCGTGTTAACTCTGTATTTGCTGGGTCATGGGGAGATCCAGGATGTTGGGGGCTCTGGGAGGAGGGGCTGGGGTAAGCAGCAGTGAACTAGCGGGTGCAGGAATAGCTCAGTGTTGAACAAGCAGCAAGGCCACGCGCAGCACGGTGCCATATCTGCGTCCTTGGAACCCAGGAAGAGGCCAAGGTCTCATCCCCAGGATTGCGTGAGCAAACATAGCACGTCCCAGGGGTGAGGACCCTTTGTTCTGCCAAGGGCCGTTTATAACACCACTCACAGGCCAAACAAAATGACCAGCCTGAAAGTCAGCTGGCGATAGATCTGAGGCCCACGTGCAGTCGCCTTGACCGGGAAAGACCAGATGATGTCACAGCCTCAGCCAGCGCATGGCCTCGCCTGGACAGAGATAGGAGGAAGGGAAAGAGACTCGGGGCTCAGGGGACCTGCGGGAGTGGAGCGAGGGCCCGGCCCACAGGCAGCGAGGAAGGAGCCGGGCCTCAGCGCTCCCCGGCGCAGGACCTGAATTTGGCCCACAGCCTCACGACCAGCCTGGGCTGGACTGGGATCTTTAACTGCTGCTTGCAGAGGAGGAAACTGAGGCCCAGAGCCGGGAGGGGCTTTGCCCAAGATCGCACAGACCTGAGAGTCCAGCCCTCCTCCATCTAAACCCAAACCCAGGGCTTCCCTCCCCGCTGCTGCCTGGGTCTCACCTCATCCCTGTTGCCTAAACACTGCCCGCCTCCCACCCGGTGTCCCTGAGAGGTGACACAGGACAGGCCGCAGGGTCAGGCTGCCTGGGTTTGAAGCCCAGCTCTGCCAGTGACCGAGCAACTGCATCATTCAAGGCTCTGGGCCTCAGTCTCCTCACCTGTAATGTGGGTGCAGCCGTAACAGCCAGCACCTAGTGTGAGCTCACTGGGTGCTCGGCCCTCGAAGCTCACAACTTCCGGTGCACACAAGGGCTTTGGTGAGGACTGAGAAAGAGAGAATTCACGCAAAGCCTGTGGAGCAGTGCCTGGGACATAATAAACACGCAACTAACGTGAGCCTTAGTGTTGGGGGCGGGGCATCTGGTCAAACATCCTCGTGTGAGTTTTCAGGCCTGACCACAAGCCGTTCCCAAGGCTTCACTCCACAGGCCCTGGGGGCAGTGCCGTGCGCAGCTGGTGCCATGTGTCTGGGGTCGGGGTGGGGTGGGGGGGATGTGGCCAAGGCCTCTCCCCAGCCCATTCTCTTCTGCAGCCTGCGTTCCAGTTCCAAGGCCCCAGCCCGGAGTCTCCTGATCAGGAGACAGAGGCCTGAGGGACAGGGTTCTCCACGCTGCCCCCACCCCATGGAGGGGCTCAGCAGGGGTTCCCGTCCATCCCCCACCTGGGCTCATCCACCTGACTCAGCGCCAGGGCTGCTGGGGCGGGGAGGTGTAGCCCTCTTGCTGCTCTCTCATCACAGCAAAGGATCAAAGCCTTGACCCTGACTTCTTCTGACTTTATCTCAACCCAGCGACTCAGCGCAGCCCTGGATGGTTATCGGTGACTCCCTGCCTTCATCAGCCTCCCCACAAGCATCAGTGTGACCTTGGTCTGTCCAGTGTTTCACACCAGCCCTCGGCTCATGTTTGCACTTCTCCCTCGGAGGCCTGGCACAGCTTGCAGCCTCCCTGCCTCCCTCTGCTCCCCCAGGGAACCCCCACCCCCAGGGACCTGGGCTGCAGGAACCCAGCCCCTGGCCTCCCCTGCAGCTCTAGCTCTCCCATGTCTTTCAGCCCAGCTCCGGGTATGACCCCTTCCCAGGAACCACCAGGGTCCCCGCATTGGCATCTCCGCATCTCCAGAGCCCTTGCTCCTCCCGCACGGCGCTGCCAGTGGGACAGGGTCTTCCTTGCAACCTGCACCTAGCACAGCTGCTGGCACACCGGAGGTGCTCAGCAGCCGTCTGGGAAAAGGAGGGGAAGGGTGGGGAGGGGAGGGGAGGGGAGAAGGGAGAGACAAGAAGGGAAAGAAGGTGGAGAAAAATGAGACTCCTGGGCTTGTCATTCAAGGATCTTTGAACCCGATTCTTCCCAGGCTCCTTTCTTGTCACCCTCCAGCCCAGCTGCACGCCTTGCAGCGCCCGGGGCCCAGTGCACTCCTGTGCATCTCAGACGCTCAGATCCTGTGCATCTCTGGCTCCTGCCTGCAACCCGGAAGCCCCTCGCCCTCCTGCTCCCCCTCTATGTAGTGCACTTCCGTTCACCTCTGCTCACTGACTTCCCCATTCCAAATAGTTCCGTCCCCTCCCTTGCCCTCCACAGGCTCCTCCCCAGCTTCAGTCCCCACCACAGCCCCTGGCCCCACCCGTCCTGTCACCCAGCCTTCTGTCTTGCTGCAGTTTGATTCCACCACATGCATACAAGTTCCTTGAAGGGAGGATTGGCATCTGTTCTCTTCACTGCTGTCTCCCCAGCTCCCAGAACAGCCTTGCAATGAGGAGTTCAATGGTAATCCTTGGCTGAATCAATTCTCCCTGCAAAGCCTGTGTGACCCTCTCCTTGTTGGTAAAGCTCACCCTACTTTACTAATTTGCTCACCAGGGCCCCAAGGAAGTCAGTTCCCGGCCTGTGTCACCCTGCACCTGGTTTCCCAGTTGTATCAGCACTGGATGACAAGGGTGCCTCAGCCCAGGTTCCTTCCATAAAGAACTTAAGGGCACAGAAGGTAAGATGCCAGCGTCGTACATCAGAGTGTCTGGGTCTGACGCCTGTGCCCATCGGGGTGTCTGGGTCCGACGCCTGGCTCCAGCTCCAGCTCCAGCTCCAGCTGCCTGCTGACGCACACCCTGGGAGGCAGCACGGGTAGCTCAAGTACTTGGGAGACCTGGATTGTGTTCCCAGCTCCCAGCTTTGGGCTGGCTGGGCTGATGTGGGCATTTGGGGGCATGAACCGGTGAATGGGAGCTCTCTGTCTCGCAAATAATTAATTAAAAAAAAACTTGAGGCAAAAAATTAAGGGGCACAATTCTAGGCAAGCAGGAGGATGGAGATAGAGAAATGAGGCAGGGAAGAGGGTACAAATGTGAAAGTACTTTAACAAGTTCGAGAGGAAATGGGCATTAAGAACAAAGTTTATTTTGTTGCAAACAGGTTGAAATCCACACCCAGGTTTTCTTTTCTTTCTTAAAGATTTATTTATTTATTTGAGAAGTAGAGTTACAGACAGAGAGGTCTTCCATCTACTGGCTCACTCCCCAAATGGCCTCAATTGCCGGAGCTGAGCCTATCCGAAGCCAGGAGCCAGGAGCTTCCTCTGGGTCTCCCACATGGGTGCAGGGGCTCAAACACTTGGGCCACCTTGTACTGCTATCTCAGGCCATAGCAGAGAGCTGGATTGGAAGAGGAGCAGCCAGAACTAAAACCGGCGCCCATATGGGATACTGGCACTGCAGGTGGAGTATTAACCTCTGTACCACAGGTTTTCATGAGAAGGGTTTTCCCTAAGTGCTTTGTAAATGTCCTCTGGACTTGGCAGGGGCCTGGTTTGTGCCCAGCCCCCAGACTCACGGGGTGAAACCCTCAGCCTCAATGCCATGGCAGTCAGAGACAGGGCCCTCGCAGGATTGGCGCCCTTATAAGAAGGAACACCACAGGTGCACAAGCTCCAGCCCCGTCCCGTCCCCCCGTTGTGTGACTTGGCCTCCCCGGGCAGCTGCTGGGAGTGCCAGAGCCTTGGCAGGAGGGCTGGAGCAGCACTCAGCCCTGCCGGCTGGCCCTGACACAGGGACTCCTCAGTCTGTGACCACCACACCACCAGCAGGCAGCTTTGAGGGCAGGGGTCACTGAGGCCACTCGGGCCAGGAGGCCAGGCAGGGGGCTGAGCCTAACGGCTCTGGGTGGATGGAGAACAAGGCCTGTCCTCCTTCCCAGTGTGTGCTCCGGGGTGCAGGGGTCTCTGTTCACTCCCTTCCTGTCCCTGGTGCTCAAACAGGGCCCACCCCAGGTGGGAGCCTTGAGTGTCAAGGGACTGGGTAGACACCTGTCCCTTTGGGTGCTGCGGCACTGTGTTTCTGTGTAGTTCAGGCTTTCAGAATGAATGTTCCTAAGACCTGGGACCCACTGAAGAGCACACTGGTCACTTCCAAACGCCTGCAACAACCAGGGCTGGGCCAAGCCAAAGCCCAGAGCCAGGAGCTCCTTCCAGGCCTCCCACGTGAGAAGCAGAGGCCCCGGCGGCACTTGGGCCATCTTCCGCTGCTTTCCCAGGTGCACTAGCAGGGAGCTGGCCCTAAAGCGAGCAGCGGGGACTCAAACCAGTGCTTTGATGTGGAATGCAGGCATCCCAGGCAGCGGCTTAGCCCACCGTGTCACGACCAGCCCCCTTATTTGTTTTTGAAGTGAAAAATGAGCATCCTTCTGATCTGGATTGCCTTATGTGCGCACGCAGTATAAAGCTGATAAAGATGGATTTTAGAACTCCCACAGGTGCCCAGCGTCTGAACAGCCTGCCTGCGCTGTGGGAATCCCCAACAGGGGAAACAGAAGGGAGGCTTTGGAGGAAATGGACGGCCCTCCTGCCCTGCCCAGCCACTCACAGGTGGGCACATGGGCTGAGCAGAGCCGGTGAGCGCCTCCTCGGGGGCGTCATCCGAGATGCGCGGTCACTGGAGAGTGCTGAGGACAGGGGTCAGGCCTCCTACTGCCAGGCAGCCGGTGTCCGTGGGGCGATGCAGAGAAGGGTCTGCTTCCCAGGCAGGACTGTGGCTGGGCCTGGCCCCTTTCACTCTCTGTCCAAATCCTGCTGCAGAGCCGGCTCAAGCCCAGGAACTTCCTGATGTCCTTCTGACAGATTCTTTCTCCCCTTGGGTTCGTGAGAACCGGTTTCTGAGCCAGACCTGCCCAGCTGAAGTTAATTCCTCTGTGGAATGGCTGTGACGAAAAGCTCAAAGCAGCTCAAACCAGTTGACAGCAGGTCCCCTCTCCAGGGGAGACAAACAGCAGCCCCAGGCTAGGGCAGGTCCCGCCTCTGGAGCGCCCAGGTGTGGCGGGTGCTGGTGGGTGACCTTCTTTCAGGGTCAGGCGCAAGCTGTGTGTCTGCCTGCTGGAGATCAGATTCCCACCCTCACAGATCGCCAACGGGGCCTTCCCCACTCCCTCCTCCTCTCTGCACCCACCCTGAGGGTCCCCCTCCTCACCCAGCACCTTCACACCTCTGCCTCTGCTCAGGGGGGCTCCCTGGGAGCCATCCCCCCTCTTTGCCTAATGGGACCGCAGGTGGGAAAGGCGTGAGCCACCTCCACCTCCAGAGCTGACTTCCCTCCTCCCACCCCCGCTCCTGCCCCGTGTTCTGTTTCATTGCTTTTTGTGCTGATTGTGCACACCATCGCTTCTGTGTCCTGAGAGATTGTTTCAAAGGTTTATTTACTTATGTACTTGAAAGGCAGAGTGACAGACAAAGAGGGAGAGACAGAGACATTCTAGCTGCTGGTTCACTCCCCCAGATGGCACTGGGCCAGGCGGAAGCCAGGAGCTTCATCTGGGTCTCCCATGCAGGTGCAGGGGCCCAAGCACTTTCCCAGGCACATTAGCAGGGAGCTGGATCGGAAGTGGAACAGCTGGGACTCCAGCCAGTGCCCTGACATGGAATGCTGGAGTCATAGGCCACGACTTGAACCTATCCACCGAGCCACTACGCTGACCCCTCAATAGTTTTATTGAGCTACAAGTTCGCTGCACTTTTGGCAGCTACACAGTAAGCACTTACTGGGCTCCTACTGATGGCCAATAAGGATTGGATGATTGAATACGTGAATGAACTCAGCTAAGTCTTCTCAACTGATAGATGAGGAAGCTAGGGACCAGAGAAAGAAGTCATTCACTTGTTCCAACCGTAGAACAAGTAGGTGGTAGAGCAGGGATTTGAACTCAAGTCTGCCTGCATCCAGAGTCCCGGACATCTTCATTTTCCATTTGCCTTCACTATGAGCATCATCATCAGTGTGGTCACCAACATTGTCCCCACGGCTACACCACCACACCATCATCATAACCACCAGGATCAGCGGCAACACTGCCAACAAGCAGCACCACCAGCCTCAACATCACCACCACCTCGACGGCGGGTTAGCTCTCCCCACCCCCACCTCACCACCACACTGCACCATCACTACCGCCTCCTCTCCTTCCCCAGCGCCATCACAACCACAGCCATCACCGCTGCCATCATCACCGTCAGCACCAGCACGGTCATCACCACCATCGTCGCCACTGCCAACCTCCCCAGCCTCGCCGCCAGCTTCACCACCACCACCTGCTCACTGCTCCCAACACTTGCATTACTGCCACCGCTCCTGTCACCACCACCACTGTCCCCACAGCCATCGTCGTTGCTGCCGGACCTCAAGTTTTATTCGAAGAATTTAGAATGCAAATAGAATGCTCTTCACTTTTAGACTCCTGTTCAGTTGTTAAAGAAATCAGATTTCCCGGTAGTAAGCCCCCCAGACCTGTCCCTGTAACCTTGATGGAGGCCATATATCACTGTACTTTGGAAAAAGTGAGTTTAAAGATATGTTTATTTCAGCAGTAAAAAAAATTGAAATCTATGCATGGGGCAGGCGTTGTGCTGTGGTGGGTGGAGTCACTGTTGGGACACCCACAACCCGCATCAGAGTGTGTGGGATACAGTCCCTCCTCTGCTTCTGATCCAGCTCCCCTGTTCATGAACCCGGGAGGCAGCAGGTGATGCCCCCAGCGCTCGGGTTTCTGCCTTCTACATGGGAAACCCGGGTGAGTTCCATCCTCCTGGCTCTGGCCTGTCCCAACTCTGGCTGTTTCAGCCACGTGGGGAGTAAACCAGCAGATAAAAGATTCTCTCTCTCTCTCTCTCTTTCTCCCCCTCCCTTCCTCTGTGTGTGTGTATGTGTGTGTGTGTGTCATTCTGCCTTCCAAATAAATAAATCTGTTTTGAGACAGTCTGTGCATAGATTTTTCCGAACTGCGTCTTCACGGACTTCTGAGCTACCTTCCTGGTGGGTGTTTCTGCCCCTGATCAGCGAGTGGTCACATGACACAAGGCGTGGACGAGACAGCCTGTGTCTGAGGAGCACTGGGATGGCCAGACCCTCGCACTCAGGAAAAAGTCGCGGTGAGGGCTGCTCCTCCATGGCTTCCAGAGCCCAGGGATCCGGATCCCCATCCCGAGCCTGCTTCTCCATGGCTCCGCGGCTCTGGGTCGGCCCCTCTACAGCTCCTCTGTGAAATCAGAAAAGTGGAAGCCACGGCTGGCTCGGCCATTTGCTCTCATTCCTCTCCCCCAGGGTAAGCAGTAGCGCTTGGTCCTCCCTGAGCTGGTCTTGCCGGGGTCACTGCTTGCAGACATGAAGAAAGAGCTACCAGGATTAGAGGAGGGGGTAGCGGAACTCAGCTGGAAGCTGGAGGCAGGGCAGAGTTGCCAATCAAAGGGGGCTTCCTGGAGAAGGTGGTATTGAACTCACTCTGATGAATAGGCAGGATTTCCACTGGCCAAAGAAAGGGCAGATTTGCCTTCTGATTTGCCTAGACTTGTGCCCCTTAATTTTTTGCCTCGTTTTTTTTTTTTTAATTAAAAAAATTATTTGCGAGACAGAGAGCTCCCATTCACCGGTTCATGCCCCCAAATGCCCACACCAGCCCAGCCAGCCCAAAGCCGGGAGCTGGGAACACAATCCAGGTCTCCCAAGTACTTGAGCTACCCGTGCTGCCTCCCAGGGTGTGCGTCAGCAGGCAGCTGGAGCTGGAGCTGGAGCTGGAGCTGGAGCCAGGCGTCAGAGTCAGACACTCCGATTGGTGCAGGCATCAGACCCAGACACCCCGATGGGCACAGGCGTCAGACCCAGACACTCTGATGTACGACGCTGGCATCTTACCTTCTGTGCCCTTAAGTTCTTTATGGAAGGAACCTGGGCTGAGGCACCCTTGTCATCCAGTGCTGATACAGCTGGGAAACCAGGTGCAGGGTGACACAGGCCGGGAAGACTTTTCTCTTTGTCTCTCCCTCCTCTCAAACAAATAAATAAAACATCTCAAAACAAACAAACAAACAAACAAAAACAAGTAGATGCTCCCTGAAGCTGGCCCAGTGCCCCAAGGGCCCAGCTGCTGCCACAGAAGGCGACACCCCTGCAGCAGAAGCACTGCTGAGCTATGCTCACAGCAAGAGGGAAGCGCACCCAAGTCCTCAGGAGCCCGCGTCTCCTCTCCCCGGCCCAGCTCCTGCGCCTTCTCTCTGTCTGTTGAGCACTGCACGGATCCTAACATGGGCCCCGAGGGCAGAACAGAAGAATGTGGTTTGAGGCAAGTGTTGTGCTACAGTGAGCTGAGCCGCCACCTGCGGAGCCCGCATCCCATCTCAGGACGCCAGTTGGAGTCTCAGTTGCTCTGCTTCCAATGCAACTGCCTACTAATGCATCTGGGAAAGCAGAAGATGATGGCCCAAGTGCTTGAGTCCTCGACACCCATGTGGGAGGCCAGGATGGAGTTCCTGACTCCTGGCTTCAGCCCAACCCTGGCCTTTACAGGCATTTGGGGAGTGAGTCATCAGATGGGAGATTGCCATCTCCACCTCCTCCCCCGACACCCTGCTCCGACCTCACCAAAAGCCTTCCTTTCAAATAAATAAATCAATGAATCTTAATTTTTTTAAAGATTTATTTGACAGGAAGAGTTACAGACAGAGGGAGGGAGAGACCGAGAGTTCTTCCATCCTCTGGTTCAGTCCCCCAAATGTCCACAACAGCGAGAGCTGGGTCTATCCAAAGCCAGAAGCCAGGAGTTTCTTCCAGGTCTCTCACGTGGGTGCAGGAGTCCAAGCACTTGGGCCATCTTCCACTGATTTCCTAGGTGCATAAGCATAAGCAGGGAGTTGGACTGGAAGAGGAGCAGCCAGGCCTCAAACCGGCACCCATATGGGATGCCGGTGCTGCAGGCAGAGGCTTAACCTACTATGCCACAGTGCCAAACCCACAAATCTTTTTTTAAAGACATTTGATTGACAGAGTTATAGAGAGAGGTAGAGACAGAGAGAGAGAGAGATATCTTCCATCTGCTGGTTCACTCCCCAAATGGCTGCAACAGCTATAGCTGGGTAGATCCAAAGCCAGGAGCCAGGAGCTTCTTGCAGGTCTCCCCACACAGGTGCAGGGTCCCAAGGACTTGGCCATCTTCTACTGCCTTCCCAGGCCACAGCAGAAAGCTGCATCAAAGATGGAGCAACTGGGACTCCAACCGGAGCCCATATGGGATGCCGGCAGTGTAGGCGGGGGCTTTACCTGCTGTGCCACAGCGCCGGCCCCAACATGGGCATACTTTAGCTGCCACAAGGTAGAGGGGTCCAATCTACTGGGCAGAATCTCCTCCTAGTCTGGTAGGAAGACACTGAGTGGGCTTTTAGAAAGCGGCACATGGAGGACAATGTGCACCTGACTTCCTGCTGAGCTGCTAGAAGTGACAGAACCTGGATTCATCAGGGGCTACATGCAGGGGCTAAGCAAGGGCAGAAGTAGAGAGGGAGCGTGGGCAGGCCCTGCTGGTCTACCTGCCAGGCACGGCGTCCAGTTGGAAGGACAGCACGCTGCTGGTAGGTGAGCATGCACCAGGACTGGAGGGGGAGGACTGGTTCTTGGGCAGTGTTTAGCTGAGGCCTGCTGCTTCTCAGCTACCCTGACAGGCCGTTTGGCTCTGGGAACTGAAAGGGAGTGCCAGGGGCCAGTGCTGTGGTGTAGTGGGCAAAGCCGCTGCCTGCAGTGCCAGCATCCCATATGGGTGCTGCTTAGAGTCCCAGCTGCTCCACTTTCGATCCAGCTCTCTGCTGTGGCCTGGGAAATAGTAGAAGATGGCTCAAGTCCTTGGGCCCTTGCACCCACGTGGGAGACCTGGAAGAAGCTCCTGGCTCCTGGCTTCAGAGCAGCCCAGCTGCCGTTGCAGCCAACTGGGGAATGAACCAGCGGATGGAAGACTTCTCTCTCTCTCTTTGCCTCTCCTTCTCTCTGTGTGTAACTCTGACTTTCAAATAAAATAAATAAATCTTAAAAAAAGAAAAAGAAAGAAAAAGAGGGTCGGTGTTTGCAAGTGAGAGCAAGAATGCTGTTGAACAGCGACACCTTCTGTTCATGGTGAGTAATTGCAGTAGTGAATGGAGGATTTGCAAGCCCTGGGTGCCCCCGGAGTTCCTGGATAGCTGGGGTGGAGGCAGATCTCTCAGCATAGAGATGTGGGACTTCCTGTTAGCAAGGACAGGTGGAGAATTGGATGGTTAATTTGAAGAACAAGGATGTGACTGTGTACACTGAGTGGGTGAAGTGAGGCATAGCTGGCGCGCGCCCACAGATCTGCTCTGCCCTCTTCTATGGATGTGATGCCTGCTAGGCAGCTCCAGTTGGAATCCTTCGTGAACCTCAGACCTTGCAGGGCCACCCTTCTGCACTCGGTTTTGGACGCCACAGCTGCGCCTCGGACTGAGTATTTGTTTCTCCTACCTCCCCGCTCTCACCCAATTAAGACGATGAAGTCTAACCCACAAAGGGCTGGGATTCCAGGGTGAGATCACTGAGAGGTGATTAGTCATAAGGGTGGGGACTTCATGAATGGGATGATTGTCCATGTAAGACACACGAGAAAGCCCTCTTCCCTCTGCCATGTGGAGAGATGATGCGGGGGGGGCAGCTGAACCTCTTCTTTGTTCTCCTGTAGGTGCTGATCAGAGGTCACTGGGGTCAGCCTTGCTCCCAGGCCGCCCTGGCCAGGGCAGGCTGCCTTGGTGGTCCTTCACCCTCCCTGGAAGATCCCACACACGGTGGCGGTGGTTGGCTGTGTGGCAGCCAGGCCTAGGGCTGCCATTCCCCAAGCCTTCTTGTTTGAGGCTACCTGGCCCTGAGGCTGGGCCAGGGGCGGGTCTTCTTCCAGCTGTTCCCATTTGCCTCCTGACAGTCTTCGGAGCCCACCTCCTCCCTCCGTGGGCTCTAGTTTGGGGCTCTGCTATCTTCTTACGTTACGTTCCGGGACCACAGACAAGATCGCGATGGTCCACCTGCCACAGATTCAGAAGCTGGGGCTGGGAAGGGGGTGGAGACCCAAGACGCCTCTTCCCAGGGGTGCGGGGATTCTATACATGGCCGGTGCTCTCAGACCTTCTTCCCACCAACGGGAGAGGCAGCTTCAGCTAACACCCTCTTTGCCCAGCACATGAGGCTGACTCTGGAGACCCCACGCAACACCCAGAAGGTCATGTCTGCCTGCCAGGCCTCTGCTGCCTCGAAAGGTTAGGGACCCTGCACCTGGGCAGCAAGGGGGCTCACACTGGAGGAGGCATAAGCATTCAGAGAGCAGTGGGCCAAGAAGGGAGCCTGAGCAGCACCAAGGCTGGGGTGGGCGGGCATGGGGGGCTGAGGAGTGGGACTGGAGGAAGGAAGCTGCTGGTCCCAGACCTGGGGGAGGACAGGGTTTCCAGGAGAAGGGAGGAGCCAGGTGGGCAGCAGGAAGACTGACCCACTCTCTCTCTGCCCATCCTAGCCATTGGTGGCCTGAACTCTGGTGGTTAGGACAGGGTCATGGGAGTCGAAGGGTGCTT